TTATTTTCCTTTTATTAAGCAGATAGGCAGGAAGAAGGTCATAATAGGAGAAGCATCACCATGAAATGAATTTAAATTGTTTTACTGAGTAGACTTCATTTGTGCAAACAGAAATTCAGTCCCTGAAAACCAATTTAATGGTCAGAAAACTTTAAGGTCTAATACTTCAATCAATTCCTATGCTTTCTTTCCTGGGATGAGCACAAATAGGTTTCTAAATGTGTATTAAAAAAGTGAGTTGATGCAATGGTGCACATTTGTGGTTGTGGTTAAGAAACTTGGCAGCATTATGTTTTCAAGTATTTCTTAACCCATTGTGGGTTTACATTTGTGATAAGATAAATAAAATATATACGTATTTATATAATCCATCAAGATATTGAAATAAGATACTTTTAGTAGACTGAAATGAGATGTTCAGAAAATTTTAATACTAAAAAATATACAATATTACTAATAATAATGCACTCTAGTATTTTTGGTCCATTAGGGGAGACTTAACTACCTATTCCACACCCCCTATTTTTAGGAAAGCAAATCTGTTAGAAGAATTGAATATATTTCTTCTAGTATACTAAGTAGTAATAGTAATGTGAGGTCAATGGTGATGATTAATGGTATCATGTAAACCATTTTACAGAAATATTTAAGTAAATAAACTTTAAGTTCCATTGTATAGCCATTTTTCAGGCACTAAATCTGGTATATACATATATTGCATAGCTTCCCAAGGTCACATTGCTGTGAAGAATTTTCTATATTGAATATGATCATATTACCATGCTGGAAATACTCTACTGAAGCAGCTTGACCTATCGGCTGATTATTTCTGGAGACATAGCACTAGATTTTTATCTATTGTTCTAAACATATATGATAATCACTTTTGAGAGCATCTGTTATTCAACTTGGCACTCTAGAGCTGTAATTTTGATAAGACTATGAGAATATTCTAAAGAGGTATTTTAAAATATAAACTGAAAAGCAATGTTATAAGATCTTATACATTATTCTTTCTGCAAAATGTTTTCATAAATTCATTTTTTTTTTTGGTACCAGGGATTGAACTCAGGACCTTGCACACTTACAAGGCAGGCACAATGCTGCTGAGCTAAATCCTGGGCCCCCATTGCTCTTTTTGATAATAATTTATTCTATATATAGTCTTTCTTCATGTTTCTAATAGAAGATAGTTTTCTAATTGAGTGAATTCAGGCAAGATTCATTGTTTTCACAGCAAAATACCAACTCAAGCATTTAGTTTTCCATTCACTCTTAAAGAAGAAGTACTTTGCCTACTACCTGGGAGATTCATGGACGTGGGAGGTTTCTTATTTGGTCATTTTTCACTCTAAGAAAGGCATTCGGTATGCTGAGTCTTAAGGATTAGGATTTTTCATCATTTTTTTTTTTTTTTAGCATTCCTCCCTCTTCTTACCTCTTCAGTGTTTTGGCCAGATTCTACCCTGTATCTATAGTTGATTTTGTTGGGAATTTCATACCTGCACACCAGAAGTCAGAGACCTCTGCTTGGTGTGATAAAATTTTAGGTCAGGATGGTCACCTGTCCATCCATCAGGAGTAGATGTTTTTCTTTTGTCTTTTCTAACATGGAAAATAGCTTTGCTTCTGTCTTGTGTTTTGCCCTTTCCTTAGGGCCTAGGAAGAAAGTAGCTCTTTGTACCCATCCCTGCCACCACCAGTGGAAATCTCTAGTAGGTGATCACTGTTAGGAATCTCTTACTGGTCTCCTGGCCTGTCCCCTATCTTCCCCATATCTTTCTCCTGAACACTTGAGGTAGGCCTGATAAATGAATTCAGACTCCCCAGCTCTTTTTTTTTTTTTTTTGGTACTGGGGATGGAACTTGGGTCCTTGCGCTTGCACAGCAGGTGGTGAAACCACTGAGCTAAATCCCTGGCCCTCCCCAGCTCTTTTGAGCCACTGTGGTAACCCTCATTTGATATTACTCAGTACTTAAAATTTTAGCTGATTTCTGTTGCTCTTTCTCTTCTGCTTGGCCGTAGTTTGTATTCCTATCTTTATTCAAACTGGCACAATTATATTTTGATTTCGTGCTATTTCGTTGCCTTGTCATTCAGCTCTTTGATAGGTTCAAGGAAAACTGAATTTTTAATTTACATGGCTTTTTGTGCCATGTAGGTTAGAACTAGCATATAGTTAGAACTAACCTTTTATCAATATTAATAATTAAAAAGCTAACTTAATTATTAGGCTTAAAATTGAAAGATTTCTACTTCTAAATAGGATATAGAAATCTGCAAAGAACACTATCACACTAACAACAACAGGAAACATATCTTCAGACTATCCACAATCTAAAAATTAGAAGATATATATATATATTTTTTTTCTTATATTAAATTTAGGTTTTATAGTTGCAGAGATGAAAACTATCCTAAACTGTGGTATCTTTTTTTTGTAAACAGTGAATATATTAGACTTTTGACTAACATTGAAAAACAAATTGCATATCTGAAGAAAAATTACCATTAATTTTATTTTTACAGTAAAGCTTTCTTGGCCAGAAGTGGTAAAGACCAAAATAAAGAAAAACAAAACCTTTGGATCTTCATCCAACCTTATTTGCATTCTTATTTTCGAAATGAGCCTCTAGTATTAAGTAGAAGAATAATTGTAGCTCACTCTCTTTCATCAGATTATCTCTGTGTAGGTTTTAAAAAGTATGAAGAAATGAGTGTCAGTATCTAACAACAGCACTGAATGATCCACTCTAATTCACTCCAAAGATAGTCTTGAACCAATAGTTGGGAGACTGCTAACTGGGATTTAAGTCAGTGAAAGAATGATCAACATTGCTTTTGATATAATTGGTCCTTGTTTTGCCAGAAATATCATCTTGAAAGATCTGTTAAATTGCAAAACAGCTTGATAGTAAATGACAATGGTAAACTTTTGAGGAAGTTATCTCTCTTTTTCCCTCTCCCTACCTCCTTCCTTTTGTTGTTGTTGTACTGGGGATGTTACACCCAGGGGCTTCACACTGAGTTATATCCATAGCACCCTCTCCCCCCACACATAGGTAGACACCTTTTTAATTTTTTATTTTGAGACGGGGTTCCACTAAGTCACTAAATTTCCTAGGCAGAGCTCAAATTTGTGATCCTCCTGCCTCAGCCTCTCCAAGTGCTGAGATTATAGTCATGCACCACCATGCCCACCTTAATTCTTTTCTTTTAGTAAATTATGTGCACAGATGAGAAGATAAATCTGTAACTTGGAAATCTTTGATACTGTTTACATCACTGTCATTGCATGCCATGGATATGCAGCAGACATTATACTAGTCATTACAAAAAAATTTGCCTGCACAAGTTAGCATATTGATTTTTTTTGTGGTAGTAAAATGGCGAGGAAAACGTTATGTTAATCCTTAAGTTTTTGAGAAACTTAAAGGAAACTGAAAATAGTGTTAAAAGTTTACTGTATGCCATAGCTTACCTGGCATAACTGTCACTTTTCAAATTCATGGCTTGTTAGAAACTGGAAAAACTTTATCATTGCCATACTCCTCAGGTAGATTTTTTAAAGGAAATACTTGAATCAGCAATTTTTCTTGCCTACAAGATTGCTGAGATGAAAATCAAGTTGGTTAGATGCAGAGAGTAGGACAAGAGGATTGTGTTACTGGGGCATTGTTATTTATATGTGATGAAAAGTAAAAATTTGTCAGGAAAATAAAGAACAGTACAGGTCATCCAAAAAAGATTGAAAAGGAGAGGAGAAAGAAAGAAACTTGGAGTTTTTCTTCATGCATTCTGTAATATGATTTACAGAAAGAAGTCATAGTAATCAACATATGCGCCATTGGGGTTTTGAAAGCCAACCTTTATTCTATGAAATTCTTTGACAACTTCCCAGACACTGTTCCTCACCGCTCTTTTTTGACCTAGTTTAGAGCAGAAATTATTTATGTGCATTTATTTTCTGTGAATCTGAATTTTGATTTTTTATGACACAGAGAAGTAGATTTCTTCCATTTTGATCCTAATGTGAGATGTCAGTGCTCTGATTCAATTCACTTTTCACAATGTGAGAGGCTCATTGTCATAGCCCTTTGTCAGTTATCCAAGATTGTTGGAGAATTATTTTTCATTATAAATCATTTTTTACAGTATTATATTGAAACTTAGAGTGTGGAGATTGAAACATTCCCATTAATTTTTCACTTAGGACTTGGATTTAGAATGCTTTTGCTTGCTGTGCATCACGGCTCTGCAGAAGATAGGTCTAGTTGCGAGTTCTTCTGTATTCTAACACTGATATTGAAGACCTTTCTTATTAAGCTACCAATTATTTTTAGTAATGTGATCAATTGATGGTGTATTTTTCTCATACAAATTAACAGGATGAGATTTTGGTTTTCCAGAATTATGTGCTTTCTTTTCTCAGAACTAAGTAAATTTTATAGAACTAAAAACTCCATTGTATTCTTTTTCAATCTTCTAATCAAGGAAGTTCAAAGTTAAGTTCTGTAAAGACTTTTCATTTATTTGTAATTATTTTGAACTAAAAATTTCAAGTGTGTAAGCAAAAAAGATTCTCCTTGAAAGTAAATAGATTTTTGTCTTGGACTTATTGTGATGGCATATGTTTAATTTTAGTTTAGTTAAATGAAATGTGAATGGATCATATTTTTGAAATTACAGGTTTTGTTCTTTAGACTCTTACCCACTTACACATTATGACCTCATACAAATTATGTTGGATGCCATCCTTCCAGAGACTTATATGGATATTTAGACTTTTATCTTTCAAATCATTTTTTTTTTTTTTTGGTACCGGTGATCGAACTCAGTACCTTGTGCTTGGGAGACAGGCGATGGAACCACTGAGCTAAATCCCTGGCCCTCTTTCAAATCTTTTGAATTACTCAATACTGAATTTGAACTGAGGACTAAATACTTTTTTCAGAGAGTGACAATAATTCTTAAGCTATTATTATTGTTATTTTTTCAGCAAGGCTAGAGAAGATCTGCAGAAAACTCAGAAAGAACGTGATTTTCATCGAATGCATCATAAGCGAGTCGTCCAAGAGAAAAACAAATTAATTAATGATCTCAAAGAGTAAGCTGCTCATATTTATTGTGTATTTAGGAGTTATTTAATTAGGGTTAAGTATTTGACTGTGACAGAAATTTTTAGATAAAGTTATGTATTCAACTTTTATTGAGTATTTATTATATGACAGATACTATATTATACGTTTGAACCACAAGGATGAGTAAGTTTAGACCTTCGTGTCAAGGACTCCTATAGTATTAAGGTGTGTGATGGGGGAGGAGTTCAACACAAACATAACAAAATATATCTCTCTTTTGCTGTGTTTCCAAGAAGGTAGTCAGTTCTACCAGATTGGAGTGTGAGAGGACTCAAGGACCTATTTTCAGAAAAATTGAATTCTGAAGTATAAGTAAGAATAAACAGTGAGCGAGTGAGGTTGCCAGGAGGCTTTTGGTAGAAGGACCGTCCTATACAAAGTCACCACGTCATGAAGGAGCATAGCATGGTCATCAAATTATAAGTCTTTCAGAGGGATAGGAAACATATCCTAACTGAACTTGAATGTATAATAAACTTTAAGAAATTTTTTTGAAGACATTATTCAGATTTACTTACACTCCATCTTTACATTCCTTCCCCCCAAGAAACAAGAAATGAATTTTATAGTCCCCTACTAAAATCCCCATTTGTTTGCTTTAGGGTAATGCTGTCTAGTAGAAATTTCCATGGTAACATAAATATTCTGTATCTGTGCTGTCTAATACAAGTAGCCACCAGGTATTTATATTTCAAAACATAACAAACTTGTTAAATATCCAAGTACATTTAAAAGAAGTATTTTTATAATTAATTTCATATAAAATTCATCATTTCATATTATATTTTTTCATATTTTATTATCTCAGAAGCCCTGGTGAAAAAAATCAAATAACCTGGTGATACCATACTTGTTATATATTCAGATAGTCATTATTTATTTGTTTAATCATTAGGAATAATGTCTACTTTTGACCTTCTGGATGAATCACTAATGTGCATTTTCTAAGAAACTAAAACAAAAACTCAGTGACGCCATCAGAGGCACAAAAGAACTAGTTATCAGATTAGTCACCAGTAAATACTTTTTCTAGTAACTATACCATTGCATAATAAATTAGTTATACGGTAATTGATGCCTGATTGAGTTAGGGTTTGGGTTCTCTGTATCATATTTTACCTAAATATTGCAATAGTATAGCCATAATTCCTTTTTTTGGTAACTCTTTAAAAGTTGACCTTATTTTTTGTATAAAAATTTCAGAATCCTATTTTTTCATGGTCCATGTAGACTCCCCATTCTAATAAAGGGGTAATAATTTTGCCTTGGTTTTCTGGGTATCAATGGGAAGTCCTTAAAATATCTTTCCCTATTGCATAATTACCCATGTAAATGGCCGTAAATAATTTTGCGGAAGAATTGAGGCTATCATAACAGCTTATAATTGCCATGGCATTGTAGAGTAGTCTTTCTTGTGCTGTCCACAGGGGCAGCCTCAGACATTTCCACTTTGGTGAATGCTGGCTATGCCTTGTTCCAGTCCTGTTCTTTGAAGCTAATAAAGAAAGAGTTTATTATTTTGGGGCAAATTACAGTTCAATCTATCAGGGCACTCTAGAGCACAGTATAGCACATAACTCAGAGTTATCCCAACAGTCAATAAAAACAGCTAACTCCTTTTTGTTTTCTTCTTCTTTTTTTTTATGAAGCCTTTTGTTTTCTGATCTTCAAATTAGAATCAGTAAAACAGGTTTTGACAGCCAGAGACCTGATTTAGGTTTTGAGCATGTTTGTTTTTTGTTTGTTTGTTTAATTTAATTTTATTTTTTAAGACAGGGTCTCACTAGTTCAGGCTGGCCTTGAACTCAGTATGTAACCCAGACTGGCATTGAGTTTGCAGCAGTCCTTCTGCCTCAGCCTTCCAAATGCTGGTATTACAGGCATGGGCCACCAGTTCTTAAGTGTTGCTCTATCAGTAATTTATCTCAGACACTGAAGTGCTTGAAGGTTAATGAATTATTGTTTATCTAGTTTTACATTCTAAGACTTTCAAAATACTTGAAGCAAAAGCTGATAAAATTCTAAGAAAAAGCACGCATTTCTACATTTTTAATTGAAGCTTTAACCTCTTCTTTTAGTAATTATTAGGGAATATAAACAGAAATTTTCTACATTTATAGCATAACAATATAATTAACATTTCTTGAATTCTGTTTCGGACTTTTTAGGTGTACATGGAATATTTACCTCATAATATATAATATACTGAGGATCAAAGAAGTCTGTAAATCTCAGATTGATGTCATACAAATAATATTTTTTGACCACAAACAATTAAACTTGTAACTGGCAACAAAGAGATCTGTGGAAATTTACCCAATATTGGAAAATTAATTAATACACTTAAAATAGTCCATGAGTTAAAGAAGGAAATTAGAAAATATTTTAAACTGAATGATTGAAGATACAACGTATCAAAATCTGTGGGATGCAGCTAAAGCAGCTTAAAGTGAACTGAGAGCTTTTAATGCTTGCATTAGAAAAGAAGAAAGTTTTAAAATCAAGGATACCATCTTTCATCTTCTAAGCTCTTAAAAAGAACAAGTTGTATATAAAGAAAGAAAAAGAAATGAAATAAAAATAAGAGCTGAAATCAGTAAAGTAGTACGTGGGCAAACCTAAGAAAAAGAACAAAGATGTTGGTTATTTGAAAATATAATATAATTGATAAAGTTGATAATAAAATTAATAAATTCGAATTGACTAATCATCATCTAATGTTGTCAAGGAGTACCCAGGAGTGTTTGTATTGCTCTTGGAAATATAAATTATAACCTGGTGATTTAACTCCTAGGTATTTAAGTGGAATGAAGATATATGACCAAAAATGACATAAATTACTTGTATAAAAATATTTAAGCACAAACTGAGATTTTCATCGGCAGGATATTATATAAACACATTGTTGAATGTAATACAAGGAAATACTACTCATGATAGAAAAGAAGTGAAGTTTAGGTAATGATATATAGGTCAACAAGGAACATTAAAAAAAAAACCCATAGAGAAACCAGTTTCCAAAGAGAACATATTCTATAATAAAAAATATATGTAACTTCCAAAATCTTTTGGGATGTTAGCAATACCTTATATTTTGATAACAGTGTGGATTACAAAAATATGCATGTTTCTCAAAACTTTTTGAACTGTGACATTTAAGATCTGTTTATTTTAAAAATGAAATTATACTTCAACAAAAAAGAAGAGACATTTTGAGGGCATTTTAAAATAAAACAGATTTTAAAGGTGTTTCCATGATGTTGAGTTGAATTATCTTCTATGAGATATCCAAATATTTTTATATTTAACTTTCTGAGGATAAATTTAATCAAGCTTGTTTTCAAGACCATTTTTAATTTTGGTGTAACTAACATTTCTTGCTTAATCATCCATTGTTTGTGGCCTTTGTCTTCTTGAAAATTGTTTTTCAATTGAATGAAGGAACTGCAATTTTTTAATCTCAAAGAATATCAGCAATCTTCCAAGTATGTAGTTGAATTTAACGAAAGGTGGTAGTAGTTGCGGCAAATGTGATTTCCCTTTCCTATGCTTCACCCACCACCTCCAGGTTGTGATTGAAGCTATCTATAAGTAATATTTACCAGGCTCTAGTGTGTTGATCTTGATTTGGTTATTCATTTTTTTTTCAAGCTAAAAAAATAAAATTAAAAAAAGAATAAGAGAGGGAAAGATTTTAGATATCACCGATTTAACTGTTTTGCCATAGAATACTATTGGACTTTTTTTTTATAGGTTGAAGTTACACTATGCATCTTATGCACCTACTATTAGAGTATTACACGAGAAGCATCACGCTTTACTGAAGGAGAAAATGCTGGCCTCCTTGGAAAGAGACAGAGCTGTTGGGAAGGTAAAGAGACAATTTAATCTACCTCAAAACAATTTTAATCACTATATTTTCTAACATTATTAGAAATATTTTTTGAGAACATTTTAAATCATTTCTATCAATTTTCATGTAAAATTCATTTGAAAGAAATAAAAAGTATTTAATCCACTTAAAACCTTATAATTATTAGTAAATTAAATAATATTTTAACTGAAACATCAATTTATAGGAGATTATTAAAGTGTAAGTCGAAGAATATACTCAGCCAGTGTGGTTAGACAAATTTGGGTTTAAGTGCTAGCTTTGAGAGAAAGTTAAACACTTAGAGCTCAGGTTTGTTATATGTGAAATGTAACCACAAAGACCTTTTAAGTTTGTTGCACAAAATATCAGATATTAATAAAAATTCCCTGACATTTCTCCCCAGATAGATATTGGCACTTCTATTTACTGATCAAATTTTTGTCTTTTTTGCTAATTAGCTACTCTTTTTCATTCTTCCTATGGGTTTTTAGAGAGGTTTAGGCCTTCGGCAGTAGTAAGGAAACTTTGGCTTAGACAAAGGAAACAAAAGATATATATATATATCATATATAATATATATGATATATATAATATATATGATATATA